GAGCTGTGACAGGGGTGTGTTTCACACCTCCCTACACTGTGCAATGGGAAAATATGTGGGGTTTTCTCAGACTGATCCCAATGTTTTCATTTGATTAACATCATTGAAGTAATTCCTGTTGTCCCATTAAACACACCCCGTTCTTTATTAATGTTTTATTATGATGGTCAAAGCCCCTCATGGGGCTGAGGGTGGTGGCCTGACTTTCCTTGGGTTTCTCAAAGGTTTTAGCACAGGAACAGAGTTGCCCCTGTGCTGTACTGCAGTTTCCCTGTTGGGACAGGATGAGACAGGGSAGTTTSTCATGGCTTRGCAGGAGTGAGGTYTYGAGCTCTGGACACTGAGGCACAATYRCTGACTCTGCTGTCCACATCCTCTGCTGCCCTGGGCAAATCCTTTGATAAATTTTATTCTGTGAAACAGGGATGCTTCACTGTGGATCCCTGAATGTTTCCTCATATTGATGAGAAGACGTATTGGTGTGTCCTCATATCCAGGACATGTTCTTGGGGGACAAGATTTATTTATTATGCATTGCACATGCAGGTGTTTACCTGTGCTGCTGACAAATAAATATAAATTAGAATTGCAAAGCTCCTTGAGATCGCAGCATAGGGAGAGTGCTTGGTGTTTGTTATGTTTCCTGCCTCACCTGCCCTAAATATGGGGATTTGGAATTACAGATTGAAAATCTGTAAGAAACATCCCCAAAGCCCAAAAAGTGGATGTGAATCCTTCCCTGAAATCTTTTTACCACTGTCCAGCCATAGTTTTACCTGTGATTTTTRTATTTTATTACAAACAGGACAAGCAAAATTTTAATATCCTCTCCCCCTCCAACAAATTATTTATTTAATTGATTTTTTTTACATCAGGTTTTTTTTTAAGGGAGAACTCTGAGGAATATTTTCTTGTCWGTAATTCATCTATATTTAATCCAAGAAAAATTCTGTTTCCCTCTACTGAAACTTAAGTTTCTTTGGGTTTGTTTGGTGACATTTTCTGAGAGACTTTTTCTATAGAAGCCATTAAAACAAATCAAGAAAAAGAAAAACTAAAGGACCAGAGAAACATTTTTCCACATTAAAAAAAAGCCTACTATGTAGTAACAATCTGATTTAAAAGTCATCATAAAATTTTTAAGGTATGGACTGCTGAACCAAAACCCAGCTGAGTTTACAGGTGGGGAAATTAACATTATTGTACAACTGGCAAACTTTTTATTCCTCATGTCCAGGGCACTCAAGCAAACATTGAGCATCTTCTCCTGGGAAAGGTTCCTCTCCAAGGCTGCTCCGACCCTCTGGGTGTTCCTCCACCCCAAAAAACAGGCTAAGAAAGGGTGAGGATACTGTAAGAACACATTTAATCTCCCCATTTCCTCTTCCCCAGAGGAGATCACACGCTCTGGATCTCGTGTATCCCAACCTTGACACTTGGAAAAGCCCAGTCTCACTTCCCAGCCTTTCAGCACCACTSCTGCCACTCACATTCCTGCCCTGACCCAGCTCTTCGGGTGTCTCTTGACAGAAGGAGCCCTGGAGGCATCAGCTGGGAGGAAGCTGTGGGGTATCCGAGATTAGAGTCTATTTTGGAGCCCCACAATCTCCAGCACGGACCCTTGGGAGCAGCGAGGAGTTCCCAGCAGAACCTCTGCTGTTCCTGCCCTCTCTGCTGAGTGCTGGGAGCAGGAAAGGCCTCTCTGCTCCCTGGGATGATTTTCTGCTCCATTTGTTATCACAACATGGGAAGGGATCAAGTCCAGCCCTTTGCTCCTCCAGCACAAGCAGCTCCATCCGGAATGTGTCGATGGAGATGCTCTGAGTGCCCAGGGCTGCTCCCCAATGCTGCCAAGGTCAGTGCAGAGCCCTGGGCTTGAGCTGCTACATGTGCCACATAAAACTCCAAATTAACTGGGGGATGAACAGCAGCTTCCTCCCAGTGAGACCTTTCCACGACCTTTCTGTAACCCAGACCAATGAACCACTCACTGCTAATGAAATAGGGGCATTGCTTGTGCTTAATCATGATTAAACYGTGATGCTGATTAATGTTCCCTCTCCAGCTACCTCAGGTGATATAGTTAGCATTGATTTTTTGAAAGTAATTCCTTTCCAGGGTATTTATTGTGCATGTAAAGTGCAGTGCATGTGAGGGAAAAAAAAGGACAAACCGTTTCAGTGACATGGAATAAAGCTCTTCTATTAAACAACTCAATTCAGAAAAGATAATTATCAGTGTGTTAAAATCAYCAGCCTGCAGCCTAAGGAAACAGGAAACTGCTTTTATATCAGATGGGCTCTCTGGGTATTCCTCATCTGGCAAATCCCCAGCAGGGTCTACATGGAATGCTGGTTTGCCTAGAAGCCCTGCACTCTGCCATTGTTCAAGGATTTAGCAAAACCAGAGCAGAAATGTGAAGACACTTGGAATGTCTGAGCAGGAATTGTATTCCTAATGAACATGAGGCAAGATGACACTTGGAGGTTAGGAAATGGATGTCAGATCCCTGTGCTCACAACTGCTTTTTATTTTACATAGTAATATCTGCAGGGTGTGGAATGACAGAACCATAGGAAATGTGTCTGGGCTGAGCAGGGCTCAGGGAGGTCCCCACCACCCCCAGAGCAGCTGAAATGATGCTGTTCAGTGTTGGCACACAGAGATCCAGGGTGGCACAACAGGGTGGGGTTTAGTTCATAAGAAAGGGGAGCAAATCTAGAAAAGCTCCTCTGCCTCTGGAACTTTTCATCTGCATTTACAGAGTAACACAGAGAATTTCACACGACCTCTGATCAAGGGCCTGGTGCAGACCCCAACATACTCAGTGTGTTCATAGTGAGAGAGGAAATTCAGCTAAAAATCTCTCAGTGATTCAAATGCYGAAGAAATCCTTTTAAATTCAAAACTTTCAGCCCTGAATCTCATAGAAAACCCCAATCACTTGGAAAGGAGTTCCATAAATCCCAGTGCAGAAGGCAGCAGGTCTTACAATGTGCTTATCTCTTTATTTGAATAATATCTGCACACACACACACACATATATATATATATATATATATATATATATATATATATAATAAATGCATTTTTAAATGAATATTGAAGCATTACAAAAGGAAACACTCTGTAGGCATTATCATTCTCATGGCAAATGTCCTGTGTCACTGGCTGTGACAAGTAACCTCAAAAATTTTCCTTTACAGGAGTCACTGCTGTGCTGCATCACAGAGTTAAGGCAAAGCCAATTCTCAGAGGTTTTAATGTTAATCTCACTTCCTATGGCAGCAAAGAACTTAATTTGGTGATGAATCATCAACAAAAAGAAGACAGAACTTTCCTGTTAATTAACAGAAATAACCCCAAATGCTCCAAAATTTCCCCAAGTTTTCTGTGCTTAGGTCTGGGAAGCCACAATATCTAGAGATCAGCCTTTCATAAGGCTGTAGAGGATTTATATATAGCCATTMGTTGCACAGTGAGATATAAATTAATCTTGCTAAGCTCAAAAATCTGCTTCTGATGTGGTGAAGCAATAATAGGGACCTTGTTAACACTTTTTCTCTATCAGATTTCCTATGTTCAGAAGAAAAAATGTTGAATAAAATGAGATTAAAATGTCATGTCAGTGTCTGGCTCCATGACAGCCACATTGCACATGATTTTCACAATGATATTGATATTTAATTAAAAACACAAAGGATGAATTTTTAAAAGACATGACGTGAGCATGATTCTAATTGTTAMCTGGAGTTGTGGCTGTTTGTGCCAGTGATAGATTTGGACAAATGAAGAATGAGGAAAATTGCAGAGATGGGGCAAAAGATCAATGGATATGCTTAGACAAAAAGCAAGAGCTCAGAAAACCCAGCAGGTCAGTGGTTTAGTCCTTGGGTAATGTTCTTAAAGTGCTTGCAAGGAAAAACTCTGCAGCCTGAGCAGACATGGCTCTATCTTTAGTGCTGAACCCCTTGGGGACAGGAGCAGAGCTCTGGCCAYGCTGCCAAAACAAGAGCACTTCAGAAAAGTCTGTGGAGAACAGGGAGAGTTAAGTGAACAATGTTATCTAGGAGCCAGACCAATTTTTTCCTGTACACTCTTCCCATTTTGTTGAAATTCACACACTAACACAAAAAGTGGCACTAAATTTTAGCAAATATTTTTGCCAAGTTATTTCCATATTCTCCACTGTGTCTCTGAGCTGTTTGAATTGATGTGTACCTAAAATCAGAGTCACCTGTTGGTCTTCATGTGTTTTTAATAATTTTTCATTTGGCAATGTCATGACCAAATAAAGTGTAACTGTGACTTGCCAAGTCATATATGAGAGAMAAAGGAAGTAAAGATTTTCTGAATTACTGCAAATTTTTTTTTGTTTGCAAATGCTTCAGTCACGGAATCATGGAATAACTCAAGTTGGAAGGGACCCATGAGGATCACCATATCCAACTCCCTCTTTCTTGGAGGATGTAATTCTCCTTGCTCATTCTGAGCTTCTCTGCTGTATCCAGGGCCTGGTAACTCTGTGCTGCAGTAGCATCAAGAGCTCTTCTCCTGGCCATTAGGCTGGACAAGAACAGAAGAATGGAATTTTCCCCAGGAAATTCCTTTTTAAGTTCAATGTAAAGACTTGACTCTAAAATAGTTTTGAAAAGGGCAGAGGGAGCTGTTGTTTGCCCTTGGTATGAAATGGGTACATCTGGAGAGAGGCTCCATGGAATTTACACATTCTCCTGAAATCTGCATGGATGGAAGTGGTTCACACACGGCAAGGGGAAGTCAGCTACCAGGAGGGAGAAAGGAAGGGCAGCTCCTCTCTGAGGAGAAACTTGTCCTATCTCTGAGAGTCCTGCGCAGAATGTTTACAAAACGCTCATTAACGGAGAGGGGATGGCGAGATAGCAACAAATCTGGTGAACAGCTTCCACTGCCTGAGATAAGGGAGGCAAGGCGGCCATAGAGGAGAGCGAGTCAGATCCAATTACTGAGACCTGGTTTTGAGGAGGGGGAAGGGGCAGGCAGACAGGACAGATCACAAGTTTCAAGACAACAGCTTCCAAACTTGTCATCCCTCTGTGACACAAGACGTGCACAGCCCAGCGGATAAAACCGCCACCGAGCCCACACGGGAGGCAGAGCTCGTTGAGCCCTGGTGGAGGCTCAGGCGAAGCCATGGAATCTGTTGTCCTCCAGCTGTGGGCTGTGCTCTCCGTCCAGGTTCACCTCGCAGCCTGCAGTCCCATCCTSAGCTTGGAGCACACTTCCTTGGAGGAAGATGGGCCTCTTTTTGACGAGATCCTCTCCGAACAAAATGGGGTTGATATCAACACACTGCTCCAGAACATGAAAAATGAGTTTTTGAAGACGTTGAACCTGTCTGAAATCCCCCAGCATGAGTCGGCCAAGATGGACCCTCCTGAGTACATGCTAGAGCTGTACAACAGGTTTGCCACGGACAGGACATCGATGCCTTCTGCAAATATCATCAGGAGCTTCAAAAATGAAGGTAAGAGCTGTTCATCTCTGGGAGAAGCGGATAGAAAGGAGCGTCTTTAGAGCCAGTGTGAAATGTCTTGGSCAGGTAMAGAGCATAAACCATGCGGGGGAAASGGCCTTTTGGTGAGGATGGCCTTGGAAATCAGCAGCTGTGGCTGGGCTGCCCAAACCCAACTCCTGGTGAAAAAAAGTCCTTGTCCTTCCTCTGGACTGCCGGGTTTTTGGGGAAGATGTGTCTTTAATGTTAGGGCAGCACCAAACATAATTTCAGTGCATTGTTTTCTTTATCCCCATAGTGACATGCATCATTTACAAGCAGCTGATTGATCTTCTAAATGAATACCTTAAGTGATATTTGAAATAAGGCAAGACTTATTTTTACACGCTGTTCAAAGTGTATTTTCAAATRCAATATTTGAGTGCAGTATTTTCAAATAATGATCTTAACCAAGTACAGCTTTCTGTTAATGCCTTCTTGCTATTGATCCCTGTGGCATTTATAATCTTTTTTCCTTTGGCACTGGAGCACAGTCCAGAAAATGCACAGAAATATGTGAACTGGAATTTTGGACGACTCTTAGGTTTTAGTTTGGAGGATCAGACTACTTTCTAATAAAAACAAACAAAACCTGAAGAAAACTAATTATCACAAAATCACAGAATAGTCTGAGTTGAAAAGGACCCACAGGGATTATCAGATCCAGCTCTAAAGTGAAACCCACAAGCTTGGCATTATTAACACCCTGCTCTGACCAACTGAGCAAACGCCCTTGGTTCATTTCCCCCTACATTTTTCCTTCCACATTCCCCTCCTTTCAATGAGGATGAAATAATGCTTCAGCACCAATATTCAATAATTTACCAGTACCTTTTTACACCAACATAGGTTTTATGTCAGAAACAGTTTTCAGCTAAACAATTCCAATTCCATTACTCCACGTGTCAAATGCAAGTTGTCTGATTTAATTACCCAGGGGCACATGTGGCTATTCAAGCTGCCATGGGACCTCTGTCATCCTCTGTTTGTTTAATTAAGTTCAAGACACGATTGCTTTTTCTCTAATATTTGCAGTTTCAAAGTGATGAGCTGTGAGAAGAGGATGAGAGGAAATCATTTGAGTTTTGCAGGGCAGTGAGATGACAGGAGAGAATCCCAAAGCCCTGCTCTGCTCCCCTCTCCTGCCAGGACCAAGCACCCTTTACCAGAGCATGTTTCTGGTGTGAAGAGACTCCACATTGTGGTTTAAAGCAACTTTACATATCCTTTTCTCCAGGGTGGAGAAATTTATCGAGGGGTTGGTGGCAAATCAGGCACTCAGTGGGGATCAATTGCTCACCTTGCCGTGTCTCTGCTCAGCAACGGGAGCGAAGGCACACACTGGGGAGGTGTTGTTCTCATTTTACACTCTTTGAAAAAATATTATGGGATAAAAATTGCCAAGCACAGTATGGTAAAGACGAAAATGCCTGTGATTTAGTGATGCAAMTCCAAAATCATTCCACCTGCAAAAAATTCGTTTTTGTAGGATTGAAATGGCATGGACTGACCTTTGCCAGGTAGTGATGGCAGCTCTGTGCTGTTCTGCTGTGCCTGTTTCAGAAGTTCTGCATCAAATGGGGAAAACTTGGTTGAAATTTATGCCATTTCAGTATTTCTCTCACTTCTTCCAGTCCAAACCAGCAAGATGTGAAGCTAGACRGCTGATGTTAACACAGTTTCACAAATACATGCAGTTAAAGGACTGTGCAATTAATGTTTTTTGTGTTTCCTCTAAGTCTGTAAAACTAAGAACCATCCATTTCATGCTAAACATGACAGAGAAATTAATTGCTTGAAATKATAAGGACAGGAGAAACTGACCATGGAATTGTTTTGTTCACCTGCCTGCTGAAAACTGGCARTAATCCCAGTTTCATTATTAGCCATTAAATCCTTCATTACAGGACTATAACAGGTGGCATGGCTGGAATTACCTCTTTGTTTTAACCCATGGACCATAACAATTTGGATGTAAATGGGGCTGTAATCAGTATTTAATACTTGAATAAAAGTCTTAAGGGAAATTTTYCATTTCCTACAGACTCCAAATCTCCCTTCCCAACCCTCCCAGGGGTGTACTGGGAACAGAAGGAGATCTGACACCCTATGGACTTTCATGCTGAAGAGCAGAGTCACATCCTGGCTGTATGAGAGATGCAAAGGCACATCTCTCATGCCCTTGTAACACTCACCCAGCTTCTCCCACGTGGAGTGGTCTTCCCCTGCCTCCTGGTGAATTCCTTGTGCTCTTCTTCCATATGGTCAGGTGGCATTTCTCCACCCTAGGAGCCTTGTTTTATCACATGGAAGTCTAGTAAACCCCAGAGATTACTCCCAATATGGAGACGATTGCCCASCTTGGTTCACATTGCCTTTAACTCACAGTCTGCTCCAACTGGGCTCTATGCACAGCCGGGTTCTCTCCCACCTTTACCAACTGACAAGCAGGGAAATCACCCCTCATTTTTTATTTGTGAAGAGATTAAAATGAAAAAAATGAAAAGAAAAAAAAAGAAAAGAAGGAAAGAAAGAAAGAAAAAGGCAGGTGCCTCAAACGCCTCCAAATCTGAGTTAAACAGGACGAGTCACGCACTAAAGTTCATGGCTTGCCTAAGTGCACTGGTGGAGCATGGCCAGTCCTTGCAGCTTTATCAGTGTCATTTTTCTACAAACAYAGAAAAACTGGGGAAGCCAGAGATGAAGGGAGTAATAGGTCAGAAATAATTTGCCTTTGCATTAATTATCSTTATAGCTTCTATGTCCTAATCTGCTTTCTGGGTTGCAAGGAGGCAGCAAATGCACCCTTGTGAGCAGATCCTGCACTGTGGGAAGAAATGAATGTTGCCTATGTAGACACTAASAGTACAGCCAGGACAGGCAGCCCAGCTGACACCAGACATTGTCCTTGTTACCTGTTCTGGTGACTAAAGGGGCCCAGGGAGCCTGGTTGAAGACAGCTGGTTGCTCACAGGTCCGGTAGTGGGATTGCTGCCAGGTCACCCTGGTGTCACCACCTGCTCTTCCCAGCCAGAGCCTTTTCATCTTCCAGAGCAGCTTTTCCTCTTTTAGGCTTTYTAGTGGCCCTTTCCATATCTGAGGGGTGTTGGAGCAGCAGGGAATTCCTGCTAGCATAGGAACACCGAGCACACACAGATTCCTGTATTTGCAGCTCAAACATCACCCATCTCATGTTCACTCCAGTGCCATGTCCTTCTGTCCTTCCTCTCCTGCACAATGAATGTTTTCCCTTGTTTATTGAATAGTTGCTGTGCAGCAACCTAGAAGTGATTTGTATGTCAATATTAGGCAACACATTTTTCATATGTAAACMTTCCAGTTGGCAAGGACATCCCTGGAATGCCTGGGGGTAGAAGGASAGCCACTAAATCCAGGTTTGTAGCATATCTGGGATCTTCTTGTCCTTACACATCTAAAATAACCTTGGACTTTTTTCCCAGTAGAGTTTTGGGAAGTGCTGAAAAAACGCTTTCTTRGAGCTGTTCAGGTGAAATCCATCAATTCAGAGCTAACCAGTGTGTGTATTTCTGGATGTATTGACTCTTTTAAAATATTTTATTTTTGTCCTTTCCAGACTTGGATTCCCACCCTATTGGTGTGACAGGAACTCGGAAATACCCACTCCTGTTCAATGTTTCCATCCCTCACCACGAGGAAATCACCATGGCAGAGCTGAGGCTCTACACCTTGGTGGAGCAGGACCAGATGCTCTATGAAGGGCTGGACCGGAAGGTCACCATCTTTGAAGTGCTGGAAAACGTCCATACSGGATCTGGGGAAGAGAGGAAGATGGTGGCCTTGGCCTCCAGGCACATCTACGGCACGAGCAGCGAGTGGGAGAGTTTTGAGGTGACCGAGGCCATCCGGCGCTGGCGCAGGGCAGGGCTGACCACGCACCGGCTGGAAGTTCACATCGAGAGCAGGGAAGGGGAGGAGCAGAATGGGGAAGGGAAACTCGACATTGACATCAACTCCGAGGCCAAGCACATGCCCCTGTTGGTTGTGTACTCTGACGACCAAAGCAATGACAAAAAGGAGGAGAAGGAAGAGCTGAATGAGATGATTGACCACGAGCAGCTCCTGGATCTGGAGAACCTGGAGGTTGGCAATTTCCATGACCAGCCTGGGGAGGAGGCGCTGCTCCAGATGCGCTCCAACATCATTTACGACTCCACYGCCCGGATCCGGAGGAACGCCAAAGGCAACTACTGCAAAAAGACTCCGCTCTACATCGACTTCAARGAGATTGGCTGGGATTCCTGGATCATCGCTCCCGCTGGATACGAAGCTTATGAGTGCCACGGCGTGTGTGCCTACCCCTTGACAGAGCACGTCACACCAACCAAACACGCCATAGTCAAGACTTTGGTTCACCTGAAGAACCCCCAGAAAGCCTCCAAGGCCTGCTGTGTGCCCACCAAACTCGACCCCATCTCTATTCTCTACTTGGATGCRGGGGTGGTCACCTACAAGTTCAAGTATGAGGGCATGGTGGTGTCAGAGTGTGGCTGCAGATAGTAGGAGGGAACGCACACACAGGGAGGGCACAGGGGAGTATTTAATGATTCAGTCTGTAAATTTGTACATTTGGGATTTGCTATTTAATGAGGTTATTTAATGAGGCCTGTACAGATAATTGTATGTTTCCTGTCACGGGGAATGGGCACACTGTGTGACCGCAGGGATTGTATATTTTGTTCCATTGCTTCCTTCTCTCTGCTCTTTGCTGTCCAGATTGTAACCAAGTCTCTCATCCAGTCAGGGCATGGGAGCTGATTACTGGATTGTTTGGGAGGGCTCTTGGTGCCAAAAGGGCACATCCAAATTCATGGAAATAAAGGCATATTTTTCTACCTTATCAATGTTTATTGGCATCTCCAGGTCTTTCCACAGCTGTTAAAGATATGTGAGAGATGGGCAATCACACTTAGACCCTTCAGTGTTCTGTTAAATTTTTATAAAGGTCTTTCCTAATTTATCTCTGTAGATCTTAGATCYTGAGAATTCTTGAGCTACTAAATCACTAAGGCACAAACAAGGTGGTTTTTCCATTTTTCTTAATATTTCCTTCACTCTTTCCCTGTTTCAGTCAAATGTAACTGGCAGGGGTGATTCAACCTGAAGCAGAAGGGCACCATTTCCTTTCCCATCTTTCTCAGGAAAGCAAACGGCCCAGGAGCAGTGCCAGGCATAGGCAGTGCTCTGATGTGCCAAGGCAAGAAATTCCCCCTCTGCAGGTCTATTACCAAATCACTCGGAGGCAGCTCTGGCTTTGCTGCAGCAGCTGTGGGTTGCCTCTCCAGGGCCAGAGCTTTAGGTAGAAGAAGGAAATGCAGCAAGTTTCCTGAAACCTTGAAATTGTACCAGCTAAAATTGTCCTTGAAATTTATACCAGCTAAGAACCAGTCAGTAAATTCCATCACAGTCAGTAGATTCCATAAGATGCAGCTTCATAATCGGACTGGAATGGCCCAGCAGTGTTGCATCTCTCTGCAGAACAGCAGAGCCCTTTGTGCCAGTGGGAKACAGAAGATCTTCCCTTTATGTAAGTGCTGGAGTTGTCAATTCATGAGGGTATTCTCCCCCAGGCTCTATAGATGGAGTCACATGCCATGTTTCCACCACTCTTCTGCAACAAATCTTGGTGATAAGGAGGTGTCGGAACTGAGAAACAATAGACCCGTCACTTTATTTATACTAAGCTGCAAATTTGTCAGATTCTTGGGAAAGTGTAAGTGATGTTGACTCTTTTAGCCTGTACCAGAGCTTACTGTACTGTCCTTGCATCTGTTTTACACTTTTAAGGGAAAGTTATCTTCCCTGGAAGTGATAAGGGTCTTTGAAATGATCACTCTAACACTTCATGGGAATGAACACTAAGACTTTATCACGCACCAGCTAAACCCAATTTCACCTATTTTCACACATACTCTTCTGTGGTTCCCATAATTTATTGACCTATTTATTGACTGCCTGCCTKTGTAATATAATGTAGAATACAGAATGTTTTATTTTTTGTGCTTGTGTGTAATCCCACTTGGATAAAACCTGTACTGTTCCTACCTTACATGGAATCTCTGCTGAGTTGTGTGGCACAGAGAATGAGGTTGCTGACTTTTTTCCTCCCTTGGATACTTGTAAATGCACATGCCACAATTATCCCCTTGCCTGCAGAGCTGCTCCCTCACTGCAGTGATTTCAGTGGAGTTCTGGAGCACATTTGGTCTTGTCCAACTCCTCTTGCAGGGGTATCATGGCTCTAAGTGCTCGGCTGTGTAGTTTATTGTACAGTTATGCAGYCTCCAGATAGTGGCTGCACCGTGGGCTGTGATATTGCTTTATTCCTCACCCCATGAGTGATTGACACCCCTGGCAGACCTTTCCCCCAAGCCACTCTGCAATCAGACCCTGTGGCTAATGGCACGTTGRAGGAATTTGTGGGAGGTGTGATATTCGCTCTGCTGACATCAACTGCAGCAGCCAACGGTTGAAGTGTGACCACACAGACCCTTTCAAAACTATCCACAATTCTTATGAAGCCATTTGCCAAGACAAGCCATTCACCTTGTTAGGAGTGATAATCCAGCWTTAGGGAGATAATCCGACATTTACTTTTATCATCTCATTTCTGCGAGCAGTCCCGTGGCAGACATCTGCCCTCCCTGCATTTTCCCCTCTGTCCTCCCCTAGCAGCACCAGTGTCTCTGAATAGAGTACWGGGAAAGCTGTGCCTTAAAAACAAYAAGYAACCCACTGCAWTCACCCATAAATATATAAAGTCTCACTGTAAATTCTCAAGTGACCACATTGCAAAACAGTGTGGTGCCTGCACTCTGTCAGAGATGTGCTGTAGCAGAGTCTGTGGTGTGCTGTGGTGCAAAGCAAACACAGTCAATGTGTCATTTTGTCAGCTGCATGTGTGAACTTCTGCAAGATCAGTAAAAACGTCAATAAATTCCAATTACAGTCCTTTAGAATTAGGGAGAAGCCARTCTGTTGATATGAGTAACTTTTCTTTATAAAGACATGAGGATSGTGCTACTCATTGAGGAGGATTTCAGCCAGACTTTTTTGTGAAAGGAGTAAAGCTGTGTTTTATTGTGCTATTTTGGGAGAAAACTGAGCATCTCTTGGATCCTTCAGTTGCACATTGCTGTTCAGAGCTGAGATGAGAACTCGTGATAATGGTGTTTCATTTATGATGGGTGTCTGCCCGGACTGCACAGCTGCTTTATGGGCAAACCCTCCCTTTATCCTCACCTTTGGATATAACCACACAAAGGCTTTTTTTTTTTGTATGTTCGTGCAGTTTGATGATAGAGACCAGACCAAAAAACAAAAAAGGGGCAATTATTTCCTAAGGATCTTCCCCCRAGCAGCAAATTGAGGCTGTTTCTGCAAGCTCAGAAGTGCTTTGCTTTAATGCCCCTGTCCAAATTAGCACAACACTCACAAATAACAGGGTGAGGGTGTGACAAGAGCCAGGGCTGCCAAGCTGGGAATCCCAGGAGTCCCTGAAAAATGTTCCAAGTCCCTGAAAAAACATTTCCCTGCATGTTTTTCTTTGTTTCTATACTCCATCCATCCATCCATCCATCCATCCATCCATCCATCCATCCATCCATCCATCCATCTCTGAATTACTGCAAACAACTAAAGCAACCCTGTCTCAACCAAAATCATCAGTATCCGTTGGAATTTTGCTTTCATCTGTTTCTAGTCAAATATGTATAAGAAAGTGTGACCAGATATTGAGCCCTTTTTTGCTGGGTGTTTTTTAAAATTCCAGGCAAGGGTTTCAGGCTAAACAGGCAAGAGAGGCAAAGTGATGGGAGAAAATAAATGATCCCAGAGAGGAAGATCCTGGAGAGCAGGTCAGCAAGGGAGTTGAGGAAAGGGCTTTAGTCTTGGATTGTTGCTCTTAAATCAACACACACGCCTCCAGAAGAGCATGAACTTCACAACAACCTSCTCTGCTCATTCCTGGGCCTTTGCAGGAATGGTGACAGCTGTGTCTCCTGAGCAAACACTCAGCACCRATGCCAGATTTCACCAAGCACTTGGAAGTCTGAGGTTCCCTTAAAGGCTCTGTRTCTCTGAGTTCTCTGCACATGGGCTAAAATTCCACAGATTTCTCCCCAAAGCCTCCTTGCATTATTTCTCCCTTAGAGGTGACCCCTGGGGTCCAGGTTCCTTCTGCAGTGTCCTGTGTAGCTGATTGAGGATACAGATTCCCAGCTTTTTGAGTGTTAAACCTGACAGCTCAGCGTGGTTTTTCTGGCCCTGTCATCGCAGCCCTGCCCTTGCTCTGGGCTCTTTGGGGTGATCTGTGAGCCTGGGACAAGGACCTGTTCTGCCAGGAGAGCAGGGCACTCCCTCTCCCTGGCAGTGCCTGTATTGGCTCATTCCCATCCCTTTTGGAGGTGCTCAAATGCCGATTTTTGGGGGAAAAATATGTATTCCTCAATATTGTGGACACATCCCTTTCCAATGATTTTGTGCCCTGACAGGTGAGCAGCACCTCTGGAGATAAAGGCATGAGATGAACCTTCCCAAAACTGAAGCCATTTCAGAAAAATCATCATCCAAAGCAGCAGCCAGAGACTATTTTAAATTTCTGCTCCCCAAAACTACTGCATTGCCCTTTTGAGACTGCTCAGAGAGCAAAGCAAACCAGAACCTCCAGCAGTGCAGAAATAGCAMAGGATGGTGTGATTTTGGTAGTCCCAGGCAGTTTGGTGCCTAGATTGCCCACAGGACAATGGCAGAGATGCAGTTTAACATTTTCTGTGAAACACACTGAGCCAAAGCCCTGCAAAATATATTAGGATTTTAGGGAGAAGGGGAAAAAAAACTGAAACAGGAAGATTTCGTGGTACTTGAACATCTGCTTCAAACATTTGAAAAACTACAGCCCAGTGTTATTTTAAACTTCCTTATAACCCAGTTCAACATTTGGAGTGCAAACACTGTTAATAGGATGGGAACTGGGGTGGTGGTGCTTTGCTTACTATATTGGGAAACAAAACCAGAACAAAGCCAGCTTGAGATAGAGCTTTTGTTTATGTTGCTGACCCATCTGTCTTCATTAATGCATTATTTACAGGAAAAGTTAAAAAATTAGGTTCTGCTCCCTCTTCAAGTGCGGCAGCAACAAATAAAGGCTGAATGGTTCATTTGCTCTTGACTAAAAATGGAAATTCTTATCAGCACCCCTTGGAAGAAGAGGTTTATTATGTGGAGTGTATTATTGTTGAGTATGAGTGCTGGGACCAGGCTTTTTGGCCACAGCTGTGCACTTCTAGCCCAGCAATGTTAGGGGTGCRGGGCAGCCAGGGAGGTGCTGTAGCACAGAAAACAGAAACCAGCCACACAATATGGCCCCCATCTTACTCTAAACTCCTTCTTTGAAGTTAAAAAGAGAAATAATGTGGATTTTCCCCTGTGTYGACGTACACAGGGTAATGGTGTGATTTTCATGGGTGTGAACTGGGACAGGTTTGGGGCTAAGCCCTGGCATGGCTCAGGAACCACCCGGGTGTCTCTGGCACTGAGGAGCAGCAGAGTGGGGTGACACCCCTCTCTCCTCCCTGCAAGTTAACAGAACACACATGTGCACTTGAATTCCTGGAGTTTAAATGTCTACATGAGGAGAGATGAAAGCCCCCCAGGACGTGTCTGCCTCGAACATCCTCCAGACAAATGAGGCAGCTTTGTGAGTCTGTTCCGAAGCCACTTTAGCTGGACATGGCTGATCACACTGAGTTGGCAGAGCTGAAACTCAGAGGASCTGAAGTTATGGCCCAGCATCCTGGACATTTCCTAATGAAAACATTGTCAAAGCAACTGCTGTGCAAATGGGCTTGGAACCACAGAATCCCAGAATGGTTTGGGTTGCAAGTGACCTTAAAGCCCACCCAG